TGTTTATGCTTCTTACCACAAATAAAATACAGCTGAAATCACCACTACATCATGTAAACATCATACTCCTGAAATTTAGTATGCTTCACAGAAAACAAAATAAACAGAAATCTTAAAAACAGATGCCATAATATTTAACAAATTGTAACAGTATGAATCCCCCATAACTTTTAAACTCATCTCTAACCCACACTGACATAAATCTTAACCACCCAAGATCTAATGTGGGCCAAGTGCAAGCAAAAACCCCTTCCGACTTTCAGCCATCAAGCCTTTGCTACAAGTCATATAAACCCTTTCATATGTCACCATCCTCAGCTGAGGATTAAGTTTGCCCAGGCAGACATGCACAGTAAGGCCAGCACTGGTGAAGCAAGGAAAATCATGAACTGTTAAACATCTTAGAACAGTGTCAACAACCCCACATAACCTTAACTTTAAACTTGAGTCAGGACCTTCAGCTCATTCAGTCTTGCCTCCAGATACCAAAACAAAGGACACAGCTTCAGGAATCTCAGTGACTACCCTCTCCTCTCCATTTGCCTCTACTCATTACCCCAGTAAAATTCAGTCTTTCTTATTTACTGATGTAAGATACACCCAAGTCAGATTCCTAAACACTGGTCATCACACCATCTGGTCAGTTGAAGCTAAATTCACAAAGCTCAAGCTCCACCGAGTCAGGTTTCAGATGAAGTGTTTTGAGGGGTTTTGTTTGTTTGGTGTTCTAAAGACTCCTCCAGCAGGGCTACTTCAAGCCAGAAACTTTAATCTGAAATTGACAACAATATCACTCCACACAAAACTTCAGGTATCTAGGCCAGAAATCTTAATGAAGTCTGTGCAAATCTGTTACTGGGGAACTTTACATTTTAGGTGGCTAAAATAATCCATCTGTCCTTCTTGAAAGTTTTAGTCTCCAGCAAAAAATAAATTGCTAGATACTGCATTTGCACCATGAAGTAAGTTTTCAACTCTCAGTATGAGATTTGAACATGGGTATTGGAGAAAGGAGAGGCAATGTACCTATGGAAAGAGAGACTCACCTGGTAGAAGAACAAATATTCATACACATTCTGCTAACCTTTGACTCAAGCCTGAATTCTCACAGACTGAGTTCTCTGGCTCTTCCATTTATACAGAACAGTGAAGGCAGCATGTCCAAACACATACCCATCCACAAGATTCTTACTAAACAGTTTCAGAAGTCTCTCAAGTTTAAAGAAAATGAATTTCTACTGAATTCTACAGGCAGCACTTAGGCCAAAAATGAGGTTTATTATTATTATGGAAAATAGAAAAAAAACCTCCAGAGGTCACAATTTAAGAAATTCAGTAAGGTTGAATCAAAAGATAGAAGTATCAAATGAAGAGCTAGGAATCCCATAAAGCATTTCACTGCAAGAGATTAACTTGTCTCAGCAGTGAAATCTGCTCAGCCCAAAATAACCAGGTTTCTAAGTTCTGTGGGCTACCTCCATGTTAAAAGATATAAATGCAGTCTTTTTGGAGTGACATTAGAAGACTGGGAACTATTGCAAACCCACATATACTTGCTATCCAGTTCCTCTGTACCATGTCTAACAAATAACTTCTCGTATTGATTTTTGTATTTCTTCTTGATTAATAAAGCTATCTCTTCAAGGGAATTCTGAGGGTGGCCCTGTGCTTTGCAGAGTTGGAAATAATTCCCACCATAACAGTCTATAAAAACCTGAGAAACACTCCTCATCAGTGCAAGCCATTTTAAATATAGCATTGTACTTTTGGCATACAAGTTAACAGTCGCTAATTAGAAGTCAAGAAAACAATGACATCGCATATGCCTAAAGCGATGCTCAATGAAAGAAAATACATGGAGACTTACTTCAGAAGTGAGAATAGGCTTGACTGCATACAGTAAAGACTGAAAAAAACTACATTCCAGCACTCTAATACGAAAGTTACCAACAATAGTTAAGTTTGACACTTGAGTGTTTGGATATATGACTCAATGCACTTTTCCACTTCTGGTTAATAATAATAAAAATCAATAAAGACTTTTGTAATGATTTCAGCAGACATGGAAGTTCAGCAAAGAAGCTCTAAGTGCAATAGTACTGGTAACTTAACCAGGAACAGATTCATGGTGCCATTTCTCTATTGAGAGGGTCAGAAAGGCCAAGGTTGCATCAATCCACAAAAACATGGCTGCTGCTTCACTGAGTTATTAGCCTTTCTGTGTAAGCCCAGCCCTAACTGAAACTTAGTGAGCTTCATTTCTTTGTACTATCTCATGTTTCAGATAATGCATAGGAACATTCTGTACCAAACAGTTCACTAAAACGTACCTATCTTTATAATAGGGGAAATATTCACCTTTGTTGCTAACCAGTTTTTGGAACTGAAAGTTTGAGAGTCTTCCCTTATGCAGCTGCTATCCCTTCACACAAGAGATTAATGAGAATGGTAACAAAAAGTCACATAAGTTCCTAGTATAAATTTACATTGGAGTTTTTTTAAACATTAAAAGGCTTTTGCAAATGCTGGCTATCGGCATCAGCAGATCCCAAGTTTGCTTCCCAACTACTGAAGTGCCTTGTACATAAAATTTGCTTGGCTCTACAGTTTTGCACCATATTGCTAAGAGAAATATGCACATGTACACACAGCGCAGTAACAACAACACTGTACACCTCTTGAGAACTTTAACATTTTTACAGCAAAGTGATGACAATCTCTGTATGGGAGATCAGCTCTGACTAGCCTGTCAACTGTAAACACCTCCCTAAAAAAAAAAAAAACAAAAAACAAAACCACAAAGTTTAAAGGATTTCCTGAAAGGTCAGGACAAAAACATGTATTTTGTTTGTCATCTTGAAAGTTTTGCAGTGACACAGATGTTCTACTCACTCAGATTATCATCCAAATGTATGAAAATATCAGCTGGAAAGAATTATGCAAAAAAGAGACACTCTAAGCTTGCTCCCCCCCTTTTTTTTTCTTTTAAACTTAAGTCAGAGGTATCACGTCATAAACTCCAGAATTAACATTACCAGCATTGCAACTTATCAGCATTACAATGCTGATTTTGAAGCCCTGACTGAATAATACAAAGTCAATCATTCCAAATGACAGAACTAATGCAGAATCTGAGAAAGCTTTGCTTTTCTTCACTCAAATAAATGTCCTGTTCTAGGGAGGTTGCCAAGTAATGTTTATACTGAATACAGCAATACATTAGTGTAAATTTAACTATGCAATGTTATTTAAAAGTTTCTAGCTGAAGTATCATAAACACCTACTTTAAGAAAAGTGACCGAGTCAATCCAAATTTGTCAAAGTTTAAAATCACTACTATTACAACTCATAGGAGCCCAAACTTTAAGATGATGTTATTAAGCATTCAGAATTTATGCAGTCACAACAAAATAAACTAAGAATGAAAGCAGGCAGAGTAAATACCCTCCCACTTTCCTGAGGCCAAAAAGCCCAGCCAACTTCAAAGCTGGTTTCTGGTAGTTTTTCACTGCCATAATGAACATGTGCAAAACTTATCTATAAAAACATTGTAGCTTCATTATACAAGCATCAAAAGCTACTTGGCACAACCATTTTCTTTTCTGCATGTATCCACTGTGTTTTGCCTGCCATAAACTCTCTCATAACTTAAATAAGTTCCCCTCATGTTATGTAACCCACGACTAATTTCCCAGTATTTCAGACTGAATAAAACAAGTACAACAGGCAAGTATGGTTATTCTTCACGCAAAGTGAAGAATTCACATTTAAAACAATAGTAAATAAACCCCATTAATAACAATGAAATAATAATGAATAATCCTAAATAACCCAAAATACTTCACATTTCTCCTTCAATGAAAAAAAACAAACAAATATAACGCAACACACAAACAAAACCCCACAACAAAAAAAAAAAACGAACCTAGCATATAAACATGCCTTATTCTTAAAACCCACCTGACTACCTACCCATCGCTGGTCCCCTCGAATTATACAGTATGATAAAATACTAACATTACAGACTACAGAACTGAGGAGCAGGAAGTTGTTTCGCTCAACCCGGGACCGAGAAAACGCCGGTAAGGAAAAAAAGTAAGAAAAAAAGAAAACCCGGCGGGGGGGCTGGAGGGGCGGTAAGAGGCAGGAGGAAGGGTGAAGGAAACTAACTAAGAAACTGGGATGAAATGAAATTCTCTCCCACTTCGTTACTCACTACCAGCAGGGTTACGGTCCGAAGCTCAAGGCATACTTTTTCAGCGAGAAAGTCCCCCGGCTCCCGGAATGGCGGGGAGGGGGGCTGGCAAGGTGCTGCCGTCCACTATGGCTACCGCCGGTCGGGGGCGCTGCCCCCACAACCGGCACCGAGGTCCCCGCGGCGTCCTGGCACCGGAGCCACCGAGGACCAGGGGGGTTGCAAGGACAGCGAGCTCAGCTCGGGTCGCCTGTGTTCGAACGGACGCCTGTATCTCCCCTGCCCCCGGAACGAAGCAAAATTGCTCGCGTGGCCACCGAGGGAGAGGCTTTGTCAGGACTCCGGAGAGAATAAAGCCTCATCTTTCGCAACCGGAGCAAGAAAAAGATAAACATGCGGCATTTCGTATGACCTGACTCCACAGCGGTCCGAAGGGCCCCACACCAGCCACCCGCCCCGTGGCTACTCAGCTCCTCATGCCTGCCACTATAAGATCACGAAGGAGCGGACAACAACGTAAAAGCCACATCAGCATCTCCTTCGGGACTCATAACGATAGCGAAGGACACGACAAAAAAGCCCGCAGGTCCTGGCAGTCTGGGTGGAGAGCAGCGGATCCACAACCCCGCACACTGCGGCACCGGAAGAGCCCAGGGCCGGAGACGGACAGGCAAGAGGGGGAAGGGCAAGAGGGAGCAAAAAGGGCCCGAGAGGGCAGGGAGCACGGGAAACTACGAGGAAAGCATTGAGTAAAGGCCGTCAAACCACAGGCCTTTTGAGACACTCCGACAGCTTTCTAACTTACAACGGCATCGTCTCTCCAGCCCCTCCTCCTCCTCCTCCTCCGTCGCCGCCGCCACCACCACCACCACCACCGCGTCGTCCCCTTCTCCCTCCTCCTCTTCTTCGTTCTCCCCCACCACTGCCGCCTCCGGGCCAGTCACTCGTCCCGCTGGGAAACGGGAATAGTGACCATGATACGCGCCGGGATCAGGCCTCGGAGACAGAAAGCCGTTCGGTAGGCCCAACCGCCGCCGCTTCACTTTCCTCTTCCCCTCCGGCCTTCTAACATGGCGCCCAGACGCTACCACAGCAACATCCTAGACCGGGGGGAGCCTGACGTAGCGGCACGGCCACCCCCCGTATATCGCGCACACCAGCTTCCCGCGCATGCTCATGCTGCCGCGAAGCCGAAGGGCATCCTGGGAGTTGTAGTTCTGGTGAGGGTTGAGCTTCAGTTTGAAAACAAAGCGCCAACGGCCGCCGGGCGGCGCGTGCGCGGTCAAGTGGTGTTTGTGTCCCTCGCTGCCAGGTGCGCGCGGGGCCATGCATGGTGCTATTGAGGGTACTCCGGCTGGGGACGGGGAATGTGGCTCACGGGCGCAGCTTCGCGGGGCTGTGGTCGGTGCAAGTGTTGGTGTGCTTGGGCATCGGGGGGCACAGCAACGGGAGGAGCGGACTGTAATCGCCTCGGGAACTGAGGCGGCGAGACGGCCCGCGCGTTGCACCTACAACTTGGGCTTGGGGTCGCCGCGCTTGGTGTATGCGGGAAGGCGCTGGGGAGCGGGGCGGCCGGCGCTGCCCTCCGTTGGGGAAGAACCCCACGGAAGGCACGGCGGAGTCCGTAATCAGCTCATTTCGGCCGAGCGCAACTCGCTTTAGTCTGCGCTCTGTGTCCCTGAAAAGCGGAGAGGTTCGGTTCAAAGCGGGAGCTGTGCGCGTCTCGTTATCATCGGGCTTGCTTTCGGCTTCATGCCCCACACAAAACAACGAGATCCTTCTCTAGGTTTTTTTTTTTTGGCTGTTGTCGTTTTGGTGGTTTGTTTTTTGTTTTTTTTTAAGCTCTGCTAGGGTTACGTAAATGTCAGAAAGTATTAAAAAACGCCACTCTTTACATACTATCTCAAAACTTTATTCTTAGAGAAGTAAATGTATTACTGCGACTCTATACAAGCAAACCCAAATCTTTGGTGTGTTTTTTTTTTTTTTAGTGTTCTATTTTCATCTTTACTCTCAAAAATTGGATACCCAAACTAAATTTCTCCAAAGTTACTGATTAGCTAATGTTTGACTGCCTCATGATAAATGGTAATTGAGCTGACAGCATAAAAGAAATTCGGATCCCAAAGAAATCTATCTCTTTAGAGTTGAAGGTGATGGTTCTGAACTCTGTTCTTGGCTATTGTCACTGACCTGACTGTGTGACTCTGAAAACAAATGGAAAAAGCCTTTCTCTGTAAAAATATTAATATTTTGAATAAGAATGTTGGGCATTAATGCATCTAAAATGCTAATGCTTAAAGTAATACATGAGTTGAAAATGTTTCTGTATTGTCATTCTTTCGGTTTTTCCTCTCCCCCCCCCCCAACAGTCCTTGCTTTCTATTTTGACAAAAACCTGTATTTGTTTTGCACCAAATATGCTGCCAGTTTCAGTTGTGTCTGCAGAGATATTAACAGTTTCTGTGAGAGGTATGTGAAGTCAGCAAAAAATGGGATGCCAGCCACATGCTGTAAAGTCTAGATTCTTCAAGAATCTATAAAAAAACATGTCTCAAATATTGAATGACAAGAAGATTGAAATGAGAACGACACCCATTTTTGATACCAAAGAAAACCCCAGGGTTTATAACCTACCTGTGCTTGGAAGCTGCTTACTGCAGTGCATGACTTTTTGTCTCTTGGTAGTTGGTAAGGGAAATAGGAAAGCTTGTTGTTTCTATTCATTACCGTTTTCAGTGAAAATGCCTTTTTTCCCTTTTTTCTGAGAAAAGGTTTTCTCAGTCTAGCTGCCTGCATTCACTATGGATCAGGGTAATATATTGCTTAAATAGACTGTGTAACTGAAAAAATCAAGGAAGAAATTTTTTGAGAGAACAGATTATTACGGTTCTCAGTTTCAAATAGACAAGCAATGCAGAAGTGTATATCTATTAATATGTGCAGTAAATGGTACTTTTATAGAACAAGTATTAATAACACAATGCGACTTAGTAATAAAGTATGAGAAATAAAATTGGAGATTACATAATAAACCTAACCAAAAGGAATTTCAGAAACTAAGTATTTTTACATAAAATGCATTACGAATGTTCTCTTTTCTATTTCACAATTTCTGCATCTGACAGGAGTGAACATTCATCTCATTAAATATCAGGGCTGTTCTTGAGGAGATATTCTGCCTAGAAACAGAAGAGTTTCCAAGTTATTTTCAAGTCTCCAATTCTAAAATTCATGCAACATAACAAAAATATAGTGGTTAACATGACTACACAACACTGCAGAAAGTATTAAATGGCTCTAAAATGTAATTTCTGTCAGACATGTGCAAGAAACTTCACACCCCACAAATACTATCCACCTCCTTGTCCCTCTTGGTAGCAGTCACCCCATCTCTATTGTGAGCAAGAGAAGGAAGTGAGCCCTTTATGACAGTATTTGTCACTCCATGGAGAATCCAAGAGAGTACCCAAGGGCCTGATTTCTGGACACTGGAAAGTAGATGATACTTGATCTTGAAAAGTTACGCATTTGGTAAGGTAGATCTCATGCTCCTAGAGCTACAGGTAGTTGGTACTCATCAGTAAGCAAAAACATGAAAACAACTGAACATTTCTTATTGCCTAAAGTGGCACACAGCATTTCATTTTAAGCTTTTGCTTGGTTAATAAAACATTTCATCAAAACAGTGAGAGCTTGTTAGTAACTTTGTTAAGATGTGCAGGAAGAACAACGGTACAGCAATAACTTTGCAACATCTGAATTCTTGTCTGAATGCAATTCTGACCCACCCTGCTTTCTGGTGAGACCTGAACTAGGTAACCTCTTGAGGTCCTTTGCAACTGGAATTGTTCAGTAGATGTCTTCTAGGATTTACTCATTAATTTATCTGTGTATTGTAAAGGGAACTACCAAAGCGCATTAATTTATTATTACAGTAATGTGTTCTGTTGTGCCTAGAGGGGTGTGTCCTTTTTAGAGGGTGGATAGAGGGTAATATCCTGCTTTCTGGTCTCTATGTCACAGCAGAACTGGCAAGTCCCTAGGAGATGTAGAGTACACATGCCAAAGAGATTGTGGTAGTGATTCTTGTCCTATCACTGTTCAGCAAAGCTGGATTGTGTCCTTACTTGATACACAGTATCAACTGATCCCATAAAGAATAGTTGCTGTTTTTTCAATTTTCACAGTAATTACTGCTCACCAGAACTGCAGATTCAAACCCTTAATTAATTTTTATCAGGACTGTGGGGAAAAAGATTTTCAGTCCTTATGTTAACAGAGATTCTTTGGGTCTCTATGAATATTCAAATATGTTTAAGAAATACAATGTAATCTTCTTACCAGAAAATCAACTGGATCATCTGGCCTGATCCTACAGCATTCATTTACCCCTTGCATAAGCATTGGCATGACATTCCTCATTAAATAGTTTCGTAGTGGAACAGACTGGGCCTCCAATAACTCTTGTTCTTGTCTTTTCACTTCCTCCAGATGTTTATTCTTCAAATAATGAACAAAATAATAAAGAATAAGGTTTATATCATCTTAAAAACAGCACTTGACTAAGTAATAATGGTTGGCTAGAGATAAAAATAGTGTTAGAGACTGTGATAGAACTTTAAAATGTACTACTTGGCAGGATAATCTATGAACTGTTTATTAAATTTAGAGCACATGGCACACTAAGGACAAAGAATTAAACAAAATGAAAACTGAAATAATCTCCTTAGTAAAATTATTTTAGTTTTCTCTCTGAAACACTTAAAAGGAGCTTTATTCTGAAGTCTCCCTGTGGTCCTGTTTCTGTAAGGTATTTGGCAAAATCGTTGGAATACACTATACTATTACAAATGCAGAGCATTTATTTAGGGTTCTTTGAACAGAAGGGGGAGGAGAATATTTTTGCTCAGAAGAGAGCCCTGACTAAATAACTGTAAATTTTTCTGGGTGTTTTGTTTGCTTGTTTTGGTTTTAGTTTCTTTGCTTTGTTTTGGTTTTATTTCATTTATGTTGTTTTTTTTGGTTGTTTTTTTTTTGGGGGGGGGGGAGAGTTATATAGACCAAAATTGCAGTGAATTACATCTGTTCACATCAGCTAAATTTATTCCTAAATTCAGGTTTAGTCAAATACAATGACTACACTCAAAAAGCAGGAGGGGTGGGGCAATGAAACTGCTGGGAGATTTTCTTTCTTCCATTTAATAGCACTTGATAGCATGCATACTCGCAGTAGTTGTGTCCAGAAGATTACTCAAAACCATTTTTATTGTCCACTCTTCACTCATTTTATTCATCAGTAGCTTGAGTCATCTGTACATACACAAGCAAATGATACTTTGAAGTTTTATACTCAAGGCATAGCACAAAAGCAATGTTCAGTTAAAACTGATATACCAATGTCTGGAAAAGATATTTACCTTATTCAGTCAATCCAGGAGTGCTACTGAATAAATCCTGCAAGTGATCTTTGGCCACTACTCAGAGACAGCAGCTAATCTACAGTCTATCATAGGGCAAATGAAAAGTTGCTTAGATTTCCTGAGCATCTGCCTGTTTAAAAGGATAAACCTAAGCATACATTTAAATACCTACTTTAGCTTTGAATAAACATCTAACATCTTTTGAAAGTTAGATGGCTTTGGATTGAACATATCTAAAAATGTGTTAACTGCCCTTACTACTATTTTCGACAAGTTCACAGAGAGTACAAAATGCTTTTAATGTTGAATGAACTGTAAATAAGGGTAGAGGTAACAAAGAAAACTTATTTACAAGCCAACATCAGAGCAAAGTAAACACTTCTTTAAAAGTGAGAAATTTTAGGTCATTATTTCCCTATAGGTGTGCATGGGCATTCAAACATAAGAAAAGGATTTCCCTGTGGAATGATCAGTTTGTTTTTAAATAGCTCTAAAAGATGACAACAGAAGGACTACCTTTCTGGTGAAACAATCTGATTTGAGGTGTGAACAAGAACATTCTTAGAGTATGCATTTTACATTATTTACCTAAAATGTCCTTAGGTGTGGCAAAGTAAATAAGGACACAGCATCATGTGAAAATCCTGTGAGGTCAAATAGCCTAAATACCAAGTACTTAGTAAAGTATTAGCAAACAAAAAGCATTCTTCAGACTGTATCAGGTAGTCC